CCTCGACCACAAAATAGATTTTATTCATCGTCATGTTCGAGAAGAAAGGAAGAACACTGTTGGGGAAGAGGAAAACCCTAGGCACTATCAAAACGACGATAACGAAGAAGAATCGGAAGATGGAGAGTACATTGGAACGACACTCTCTTCTTCAATTCGGTCAATTGTCGAAGCTTTCGTTCGATAATCGTCCGCCTTCGAATGCTCCGTCATCGGCGGCTTTTCAGAGTCTCCGAGATTCGGACTCGTCGGAGCTCCGGAATCAGTTGGGTTCCGTTGATGACGATGCCGATTGCGGAGAGAAGGAGTTTATTCTCAGTCAAGACTTCTTCTGGTAAACTTTCATTACTCGGATTTCGAAGCATTTCTTAGCTTTGTATATATAGATTGAGATCTATCGTTATCTTCTTGGTCGGACTATGTTTTGAATCATAAATCCATTTTAGGCTTAATCAATTTCATGATTTCTGATTTGATGAAAAAGTGTGATTCGTAATGTTTCAGCTATTGACTGATAAATTCATTTTTCTGATTTGTTTTTTCTTTTTTCAGCACACCTGACTATATAACACCGGACAATCAGAATCTGATGAACGGTTTAGACATCAGCAAGGTGAATTTGAGAGAAAGATGTTTAATTTTATATATGATTTTTTTTGTTTCTCCAAATGTCTCCAATTTGATAGTTTTATTTCTCTTTCTTATGACTTTGTAGGATCATTCTCCTTGTCCTAGATCTCCTGTTAAACTAAATACAGTTAAAAGCAAAAGATGTCGGCAAGGTAAGCTTTGTTCACCATTAGTGTGCGTAAAGAAACGATTTTCAGATGGGAAGAAGATATAGGTTTCAGAAAGGGACTTGCTTGGCTGTTTTGTGGTTACAATTGTTGGTATAGTCTTGTTTGATCTCCTGAAAATTGTCCAACAGTCAAATCTTTATCGGTTTGGGATTTACAGAAGTATTATCTGGTGATTTGATGTGTTCTTTTCCTGACCTTTTCAATACTTAGATAAACATTTCTATGTTTAATGCAGACAGTTTTACATTGAATCATTCAAATTCTACCTGGTCGTCAAAAGAAAGAGTA